TAGAGGGGCAGAACCTACCTGGATCTCAGGAGTGACAGGGAGATGTCAAGAACTGTCAGTACTGGAGGCCGAGGTTAGCTTGACCAGGGACAAGTGGGAAAAACATCCCATTGTAACTGGCTCAGAAGCCCTTGTATCTTGGGCATTGACTATCTCAAGAGGGGATACTTCAAAGCCCCAAAAGGATACCGATGGGCTTTTGGTGTGGCCAGTGTGAACACAGAGAAGGTAAAACAGTTGCCTAATCTGTCAGGCCTCTCAGATCTTTTTGTTGTGGGACTGTTGCTAGTTGAAGAACAACAGGTGCCAATTGCTACAAGGACCGTGCAGCAACGGCAATATCACACAAACCGAGACGCTCTGGCTCCCATCCAAGAGCTGATGTATCAACTGGAGAGCTAAGGTGTCATCAGTAAGACACATTCACCTTTCAATAGCCCAATATGGCTGGTGCGAAAGTCTGACAGAGGGTGGAGGTGAACAGTAGATTATCATGGCCTGAATGAAGTGACTCCACCACTGAGTGAGTCTGTACCAGATATGTTAGAGCTCCAATATGAACTGGAGTCAAAGGCAGCCAAGTGGTACGCCACAATCAACATTTCCAATGCATTCTTTTCAATTCCTTCGGCAGAAGAGTGCAGGCCACAGTTTGCTTGCACGTGGAGGGGTGTCCAGTAGACCTGGAATCAACTGCCCCAGGTCTGGAAGCACAGCCCCACTATTTCCCATGGACTAATTCAAACTGCACTGGAAAAGGGTGATGCCCCTAAACATCTACAACACATTGATGACATCATTGTGTGGGGCAATGAAGCAGAAGAAGCATTCAAGAAAGTACAAAGAGTAACTGAGATTCTTCTGAGAGCTGGGTTTACCATAAAGAAAAGCAAGGTCAAGGGACCAGCACAAGAAATTCAGTTCTTGGGAATAAAATGGCAAGATGGACGCTGCCATGTGCCTATGGATGTCGTCAACAAGATAGCAACTATGTCTGCACCAACTAACAAGAAGGAAACACAAGCTTTCTTAGGACTTGTGGGATTTTGGAGGATGCATATTCCAGGTTACAGTCAGCTTGTGAGCCCTCTCTATCAAGTAACTCAAAAGAAGAACCATTTTGAGTGGGGTCTTGAGCAACAACAAGACTTTGAGCACATCAAACAGGAGATAGTTCGGGTGGTAGCTCTTGGGCCTGTTCAGACAGGACCAGCTGTGCAAAATATGCTTTACACATCAACTGGGGAGCACGGACTTACATGGATCCTCTGGCAGAAGATACCAGGTGAAACTCGAGGTTGACCATTAGGATTTTGGAGCCAGGGATATTGAGGATCAGAAGCCCATTACACTCTGACTGAAAAGCAGATACTGGCAGCATATGAGGGAATTTAAGCCGCTTCAGAAATTGTTGGTACAGAAGCACAGCTCCTCTTGGCACTGCAATTGCCTGTATTACATTGGACGATCAAAGGAAACATCCCTTCCACGCACCATGCAACCAGTGCTACCCGGAGTAAATGGGTAGCGTTAATCACACAACGAGCTCAACTAGGAAAACCCAACCATCCAGGGATCCTGGAAGAGATCATGGACTGGCCAGAAGGTAGAGATTTTGGAGCGTTGCCTGAGGAGGTGGCTCGTGCCCAAGAGGCACCGCCATATAACGAGTTACCAGAAGATGAAAGGCATTATGCTCTGTTTACTGATGGATCATGCTGTGTGGTAGGAAGCCATCGGAAGTGGAAAGCTGCTGTGTGGAGTCCCACAAGACAAGTCATTGAGGCCACTGAAGGAGAGGGCAAGACAAGTCAGTTTGCAGAAGTAAAAGCGATCCAACTAGCCTTAAAGATTGCTGAACGGGAGAAGTGGCCAGTACTATATCTCTACACAGAATCCTGGGTGGTGGCTAACTCCCTGTGGGGGTGGCTACAGGAGTGGAAGAAGACCAATTGGCAGCGCAGAGGTAAACCTATCTGGGCTGCTGCATTGTGGCAGGACATCGGTGCCCAAGTGGAAAACGTGGCTCTAAAAGTACGTCATGTAGATGCTCATGTGCCCAAAAGACGTGTCACCGAAGAACATCAAAACAATGACCAAGTAGACAAGGCTGCCAAAATTGAAGTAGCTCAGCTGAACCTGGACTGGGAGCTCAAAGGTGAGCTATTTGTAGCCTCATGGGCCCATGAAATATCAGGGAATCTCGGGAGAGATGCAACGTACAGATGGGCTTGTGACCAAGGGGTGGACCTGACCACGGAGGCCATCTCACAGGTAACTCATGAATGTGAAATTTGTGCTGCAATCAAGCCAGCCACAAGAGTAAAGTCTCCCTGGAAGAGAGGGCGATGGATGAGTTTTCGATATGGTGATGCCTGGCAAATTGTCTGTCTTGGACCACTGCCATGAACATGCCAAGGCAAGCGCTACATACTCACCATGGTGGAAGCAACTACTGGTTGGCTCCAAACGTACCCTGTAAATCATGCCACTGCCTGAAATACCATCTTAGGTCTTGAAAGGCAAATTTTGTGGTGACATGGTACTCCTAAAAGAATTGAATCAGACAATGGGACCCATTTTCAAAATAATCTTATAAACTCCTGGGCAAAGAAACACGGCATTGAGTGGGTGTATCACATCCCTTATTACCCACAAGCATCTGGAAAGAATGAAAGATACAATGGACTGTTGAAGACTATGTTGAGAGCATTGGACAATGGGAGATGAAAGCACTGGGCTATAAATTTAGCAAAAGCCAGTTGGCTAATTAATACCAGAGGATCTGTTAACTGTCCTGGTCCTGCCCAAACAAACCCCCTTCATGCTGTGGGAGGAGATAAGGTCCCTGTAGTACACACAGGGAGATGGCTGGGGAAGGCAGTATGGGACAAGGCAAGCCCACTTGTGGGATTGTTTTTGCTCAGGGACCTGGGTGTACTTGGTGGGTAATGTGGGAGGATGGGGCTACTCAAGGTGTTCCTCAAGGACATTTAACTTTGGAGGAAAAATAATCTGTGGAGTGAGTTGCATGTTGCAGGAAGTGATGGAGGAAGTAGGAATGACGAAGAGTGAACCAGATGCGTGCAATGACGACCCAAACCTAGCCAGTGCTGGAGTCCAGCAGTGAAACATACTGCTCCTGTCCTGAATGTCCATCTTGATAGATGGAGCCAAGTCACTGAATATCTGGAGAAGTGAAGAAAGCTTACAGAATGGATAAATGAGTGTTTTGTGGGACCTGAGCATGATGTAAATGGTATGGAATAAGGGGAGGAGACTGTACTGGGTCTGGCTGAACTGGAATCGGTTTTCCCTTATGGCAGCCCTCATGGTGCTGTGGTTTATGCTGGGAGCTGGCCGGGTGTTGATAGCACCCTGGTGTTGTGGCTACTGCTGAGCAGTGCTTACACAGCACCAAGGCTCTTTCCGACATTTTCCATTCCCCAGTGGGCAAGATCTTGGGAGGGGACACAACCAGGACAGCTGACCCGAATTGACCAAAGGGATGTTCCAGACCATATGACGCCTGCTCAGTATAAAGCTGGGAGAAAGGAGGAAGGGGGTGGGGGGGAGTGTCACCCTTGGTCCTCCAAGGCAACCACTCCGCGTATTGCAGCCCTGCTTCCTGAGAAGGCCCGACATCGCCTGGTCATGGAAAGGAGAGAATAAATCTCTTTTCTGTTTTTGCTTCCGCAAGCAGACATTTGCTTTGCTTTGCTATTAAAACTGCTTTTGTTTTACCCACAAGAGTTGGGGTACTTTTCCTATCTTATTTTCTTTCCCCTCTTTGCCCTGTTGAGAAAAAAAAAGGGGAAGGGGGGAAAGTGATAGAGCGACTTGGTGGGTACCTGGCATTTAGCCAAGGCCAAAACACCACATTAGCCTTTTTTTTCTTTTTTTTTTTTAACCCTCTGCTTATTTGACATACCTCCTCACTAGATACAGAGAGACACAATGCTAAGCTAGAACAAATTTCAAAGAGTGCAAATGCTTTTGGGGCCCAAGGGTGCATTCCCTATGAATGTTATGTCCCCAGCACTGCATCAGTGCCACAGCAGAATGGCTTTACTAGTTCTCAATAAATGTGGCCAAAACTCCAAGGTGCTTTTGTGCCTGCCCCCACTTCCTATAGAAATATGCATAATGCTGGACGTTTGTCTGTGAGAGGAGGACAGAATGTGGTGGATTACAGAAATGAAGACAGCATCTTGCTGATGAACGCTGGAACAAAGAATGGATCGAGTACTTCAGCGTCATGTGGGGCAGCTGTCACTAAATCACCTACCCCACTGAGTGACAGGCCAGATTTTTCTTCTTTACTGCTTTAATGCCTGTGTAGCAATAGAATATCTTCTTCTAACCCTTGATGTCCCTTACAAGTGTCACTCTAGTTGAACTTCAGCTTTCCTAACCCTGTCCATACATGCCAAATCAATGCCACAGACAGGTCCCCTTGTAGCCTGGTTTTGCCTCACTCTCCTAATCACAGTGATTTGTTTTCTGCTTCAGAGATCTATGTGAAGTCCCTGATTAGTCAAGCCAGAGTTCTGGTAAATGTGTTTTTCCTCCTGAGCACCAGAATTAAGTATTCTTGCGCTTGGGAGAGAGATTCTGTCCTTCAAGACCTGTAAGATTTTCTGGCTTGTCTACCACTCCCAAGCAATCCCACCTACTACTTTCCCAAGTAAGCAAAAATCTGGTTTGTACTCTGCTACTTGCTTTCCTCTCTCCCGTCGGAATCATGAACTCCGTTAGTACATGCTCACCACACCCAAGATTGACTGCCATCGATTTCCACAACCCCAGACAGTTCTTCCTTGTTAGTGAACAGCAGATGGAGCTGTGCACTGCGCAGGTTGGCCCATCCAGGACCTGGACCAGGAAGTCATCCTCTCCTCCATCCAGAAATCACCATTACTTGCATCTCAACATCTTGCCCTCAAGATGAGGCTCAAGTCCCCCATAAGAACTGGGCCTGTGATCTAGAGACTTCCTGGAGTTGTGTAAAGGAGACTCTGCTCGCTTACTCATCCTGATCAGGCCGTCAGGACACTCACCTCTGCCATGACCCCAGGGTAGTTTCCAGGCAAGGGCATGGAGAAGAAGCTAGGAGCAGACAAGGCCAAACACACGCCACTTGTTGATGATCAAAGTACCTGCAGGCTTTAATTCTCATCTCAGAATGCCACCAAAGCCAGCCCTATTTCAGGACACAATTGTTAATAAAAGTAACAGTGAGATCAATATAGATTGGATAAAATGCAAGCACAACCATTCAGACGGAGAAAATGTAAATACATTTATGAAAATGGATAAAATGTAAACACAAGCAGCCAATAATAAAAAGAAAAAGCAGTAACAAATTCCAAGACAGAACGCTGGCTAAACTGCAAACAAAGCACAGCAAAACAGGACAGGCCAGGAAAAACTGAGCTCCAATCACTGGTCAGTTGAGGGATCTTTCATTTCCGCAGCTGGGCTCCTTCATGCCACTGCCATTTATTAATATGCCTCTGCAATGTAAATAGAAAAAAAGGGAAAAGGCGTGAAGACCAAGCCTGACACTGCGGTGGTTCCTCAGAGCAGCGGACAGGTAATTTCAGTAAAGCTGCCTCCTCCAGCCCCCACCGTGTCCTCGGCACCCAGCACTTACATTCACATGTAGGATACTTAATCGCTCCATCCAGACACTCTGCTCTAAATTTCTCAGGGTGTGAAACTTGTCGGTACCACCGTTTGCATTCAAAGAGAATATAATCCCCAGTGTAATAGGTGGAAGTGCTCAACCAGCTTGATGACTGTAGTTGAATATTGTTCCTTTCCATAATCCTCTTATGCACTGTACAGTTCTCTGCAAAAAAGTACTTTTATTATTTGCCTGTAGACCTCCCACTGGACAACTGATGCTCTGAAGCTGTTGGGACCAGCTGAGAGCCCCTGAGAGGCCTTTCCCCAGCTGCCTTTCCAGCTGGGGGGTACGGCAGTCAACAGCTTCTTGGGGACACTGCCCCTCACCACCTGCAGCCTAAGGATGCTCCCACATTCCCTGGCTCCTCCCCAGGCGCTCTCCCAGGAAACCTAAATGTCTTTCCCCCAGCTTCAGCACTAAAAATGCAACAACACAGGAGCTAAGCTGTGGCCAAAGTGGAGACGACTTACTTCCTGGCTTGCAGTGTGGATATTCTAACGTTCCCTTCATACACTGTGCTCGGAAAGGGAGAGATGCTGGGTCCTCCATATATCCTCTTTTACACCGAAACTCAATAAAGTCACCCGATCTGGAATACAGCTTTCTTGCTGCGACCCATTTCAGCACAATATTGTTTCTGGCCATGACTTCTTCAGATGCTGTACAGGCCACTTGAAAAAGGCAAGAGAAGAGGGTCATCACTTTATACAGACTCAACACAGGTAAATTTTTTTTCCCCTAGAGACTGTAAATCTTCACAGATTTTCCCCTAGCACCTACAGAACCTTCTTTGCATCAAAACCCAGTTCCAGCTATTTACTCTGACCATCTGTTATTGGTGACAGAGACATTCACATCCAAGCTAAAGGGAAAGAAGACCATGGCTGAGACCCCAGGTGCCCACGCAGAGCTATGAAGAAGCCTTTTCATGCTGACAGTCACAAAGGGCAAGTCACGGGTGGGGAAGTCAGCAGGCACCAAAGAACCTCCCCGTGTCTTTATTGAGATTCATCCTTCCCTTCTGCTCAGCACTTCTTGAAATTGGTTTCCTCATGGCCACGTCACAGATGCAGACCCAGGTTTCCCCAGCACTGCCATGTGCTCCAAACTATCCTCACCATTCACAGCCTGTTGACCACAGCAGCATCCCTAACTTGGGAGCACTTGGGAGCCTGGCACGGTGATGGAGATCCCCTCACACTACGGGCCTCAGACAAACTCCCCTCCTCCCAAATCACTGTGGTGGCAAGAGACAGCAGGCAGCAGAGGGGACTACATGAGCGAACTTCAAGAAGAAACAAAGAAAAAAGAAAAAACACCAAACAACAGGAGCAGTGACACACTGTTTGGCCACAGAGCACGTGCTTCAACCTACCTAGGCAAACTGGGGGGCTTGTCCACTGCCCATCAGTACAGGTGATATGTTGAGATCCTTCCAGGACGTAGAGACTTGGGCATTTGTATTCCAGAATGGAACCTTGTGGATATTCTTGCATAGGGAAGGAAAGAAGGTCTCCATTTTCAATAACTGGAGGTGGGCCACATTTCCCACCTTTCCCTGGAAGAAAATTCCCAATCACAGTGAAAGCCACAAGAGTTTAATTGCAATGGAGGCCTGGCTACAAACACTACTGGACAGTATGTTGGCACTACTTTGAGAGACCTGGAGGAAAGCAGAGAGAAAACCAAATACCTGGCAGGTGAAAAAGAGCAAGAGTTTCTCATTTCTCCAGTGCCGGGACTCACAAGTGCCAGTCCACCCCATTTGTCCACAGCTGAAGTGCTTACAGCTGTCTGCAGCGCTTCCTCTCATCCTGCATAACAGTGTAGTGTTTGTCACAGCTCCTGCAGAAGAGCCTGACACCCACCTCCTCCCTACACTGCCTGAGCAGTGACAAAATGGATCTGACTGCAAACAGCAACAACTGTCACCAAACCGCACCACTGTGATCACTGATGAGATAATAGTCCCTGGGCTCTGTGTGCCTCTCACAGCGCTGAGCAGCTCACACATGCCAATTCTGAACCGCTGCTGCCTCATGGATTTTTATAAATATTCAAGCACCACGCTGCTGCCAAGTCTGGCCTTACAATGGACCTTGCGTGGGGAAATCTTCAGAGAAGACCCAGATCCCTTGGTACCAGCAGTGAGCCTCTCTGCACTTGGCATTGCATTCTGGAGCCACAATATGGAGCCTGGCCTTGAGTCACCTGCTGTTTCTGCAGATGCTCCCACATGGGTGCTGGCTGAGGGAAATGCCGCTGCATTGGTCCCTGTGCTGAAACTTTCTGTATGTCTAGTGAGGACAAATGATATTATTCAGTGCACTCATGAAACCCTAGGAGGCACCAACACAGCACCTAGCTATTGGCTCGCACATCACATTCTACCCTCAGTCCGTTTAACAGCTGATTTGACTCCACGGCATTCAGTATAGCAATGCATCATCTGCACTGTCTGGATGTCAACTAGCAGGGAAGCTGTGGGTCACTGTTGAACAGTGACAACAAAATCTCTCACTCTTCTCATCAGGCAGGCACAGAAAGTAGATTCTAAGAAGTCTAAGGGCTGCGTCTCACCCACCACCCAAGATTACTGGACCCGAGACAGTGCTGGATCCAGGGGTGGTGACCGGATTTCTTTGACTCTATCTCTCCTTTCTTTTTTCTTTCCTGTCCTTATTTTTCTTTCTCATGGATTTGTAAGAGACCACTTTGCTTATTATCCTTTTCCAAACTGAAGTTGTTTTTACCTCAAGTAAAACACTTTAACTGGTCGTTTGGTGTCGTTTCACCTTGATTGAACCTGAGGTGATCACAGAACCTTTATGACTCCCTGGGCTCCCAGTCCAGGTTGTAACAGGCCCTTTTGAGTGATGCCACCTGTCTCACTCAGCTGGTAAACTCACCTGAATTGATACCTGGGAAAATGGCTTTTTCCTGAGTGCACCAGCTATGCTGTGCTTGCGCACAGTAATGAGAATGAAATTTGGAGAAGTAAATGCTACTAAGTCACCTTCATGATATCTCACTGACAGGCGACTGTTTGAAGAGAGAGAGAAATTACCTTTGCACTTTGGCAGCTTTGTCCAGGTCCCATTCTGACACGATATGGTGGAGTCCCCAGCCATCACAAAACCTTGCCAGCACTGATAGTGAGCACTTTCCCCAGGCAAATACCTTGACTTTTTAACACCTTCAACTTTACCACCGGCAATTTCTGGAGGAGGGTCACACCTCACATCTGAAAAAAAGACACTGTGGCAGTCCCGTCTGCAGTCGTTGAGGTGTTCCCCTATACAGCCAACAGTTAAAGGAATCAACCTTGTTACAATTTCTGTCCAGATTTTCTGCCTCAAGTGGGTCACAGCTCCAAGAATTTGTCATGGAGAAAGCAACGAGGGGTGACAGTGGCAGCAGAACTCTCTTTCTGGGACTCTCAGGAGATGGCAGGGTCAATGACAGCTTCCAGAAAAAGCCGGTGTTTCTGCAGCTACACCTTACGTCGCAAGAAGCCACACTGGCCTTCCTGCATGCCCATGTCCCTCCCCAGGGAGCCCTGGCATTCCTGGACATCACAGGGGTAGCAGCCAAACTGGCGTTCTACTGAATCGCGGAGCTCTGGAGGACCGGCAGCACGGGAGGAGATTGTCAACCTGCACTGCCCAGGGACCGGTAAGTGCCGTCCGCTCCAGGGAGGTGTGGGAAGCCAGGTAGCACTTGTTCACCCTGCAGCCACGGATTTGGGCAGGGGACAGGAGCACAGCTCCTCAAAGTTCCCTGTCACAGGAATGCTATTCCCACTTCATGGCCCCAGCAGAGCGTACATGGTCTAGATCCGAGTCTCTGCTGGGATCTGCGCCGGTCAGAATGCAGCCCTGGAGAAGAACGGCTGTTTCTCTCCTGCACTGCTTCTTCCATTCAGAAACTCCCAGACAGGTTGGAACAGAACAGAGGAGCCCGTACATCTCTTTCTACTGGAGGTCGCTGAAGTGGCAGACTCTGGGGAAATACCAGCACTACTCCGGAGAATGACAGAGCAGCACCTTTTAGGCATGGCTTCTTCAAGACGTCTTTGCTGCTGCTGAACATATCCCCAGCGTTTTTAGAGGCATCAAGCTAAATTAAAGTGCTGTGCAAAGAAGCAGTTGCGAGTACCAAGTTGGGATACACAAAGAAAGCAGAAGTAGAAAAAGTAAAGCCTTTAGAGTGTGTAGGTAAACAAACCTTGCCCCCTATGCTACAGGCAAGATGAAAGCACAGATTCCTACCTCTGCAGGTTGGTGCCTGGGACCACTCTCCATTTGTACAAGTGACATAATTTCCACCCATCATTTGGAAATTGCTTTCACATTCATACTGCAGTCTGGCACCGGGCAGGTACCTCTCCTGCTGAGTGCTTGTAATATAAGCATTGGGAATTTCAGGTGCAGCTCCACAGCTAACATCTGAAGAGAGAGGGGCGTGTAAGAACAGCAGTGCAGCAATATGACGATCACAGAACATTGCATTGCAGAGCACCATTGCTCCTGATGAGCAAAAATGGTTTGCGTAATGCAGATCATTTTCTGCAGGTAGAAAAGGAAGATATAATGGTCTTCACTCTGCAGTGCTTCACCACGTAATACTAGTTTTGCCTAGAGTGACTAAAACGAGCAAAGGAGTTGCAGAGATCAGCCAAATGTGCAGATGGGTGTTGTGCAGCACTGTGTGCCAAAGGGTTGGAGAGCTGAAGTAGTTTCTCTACTATTTGAAGGCAACTTTCAGCAACTGACGCTCTTTGTGATATGAAAAGAAGATACATTACTCTACCAGCTATCTCTGCCTTTGCAGCCAGCATCCATTCTTCCATAACCCTCTGCCTGCTTGATTTCAGCAGAGAGATAAGTTTCACCTACAAGCTTCAGCCCATAGGAGAAACGATGTCTTGGTTGATCTACCCTGCTGCTTGTTTCTCAGGAGCCAGAAAAACAGGGGTTGTCGGAGCCCATTCAAAGCAAGTCACGCATTGGCTCTATTGGCCTGACGCACCTGCATGCCTGAGCTGACATTATTTTAATTCACAACCTGTAAGACTAAGAAGGGTCATAGACTTCTTAGGAGTAGAACCTATACCTTCACAGAACGGCGGTGCTGTCCAGTTTCCTTCCCTGCAAATAATTTCTGGAGGACCAAAAATCAGGAACCCTGCATCACACTGGTAGTGAACTGTTTCACCAGGCTCATAAATTTCCTTGTTTCTGCCTTCAGTTTGAGCATTGGCAACTTTTGGAATGCTTCCACATGGCATTTCTGAAAAGATACAGAAAGCTGATGCCTGTGCTAATGTGATACACACAGAATGAGTGTATGTTTATACAAACAGTCGCTTAGAGAGCTTTCTCTATCGTCAGCATCGTCACCTGCTGACAGTGGATTTTACATAAAAGGTAGCATACGGAAAATTAAATAAGGCATTCCCTTATATAGGCACGGACCTCCATCTCTGGAATATTTAGATCCTGTTTCTAACCATGCTTGAAAATGTCAATAAAGGCTTCTGTCCCTTACTACCACAAAGTGGTTTCCATCACTGAAGCACCAAAGCAACTCCTAGTCCCTAGTGTGCTCTGTAGAAAACAGATGCTTGGATTAATGAGTACGTGCACAGGACGCACCTGGCAGAGATATGAACAGAACAAAGATTGCAAGAACACAAAGGAATATTTAAAAACTAAGCTGCTTTCAAAAAGTCAGTCCTGCATCCAATCAGGATTGCTCTGAACACACCCATGAGGGATGATAAGATTCCGCAGCAAAATAGGGAGTTACTGGCCCTTACTAGTCAAGATCTGGTTAAAAATTCGTTCCATTTCATTGCTTAATTCTCTCAGAAAAAGTATTTTTTGATATTACTGAAGTATGCAGGAGCTGGAGTCCAGTTTCCCTTAGAACAAGTTATCTCTGATAGTCCATTGAACTTGTATCCAGGACGAGAAACATACTTAAATTTAGCACCAGACAGATAAAATGTTTTCCCTTCTCTATTAACTTTTAAGTTTTCATTTTCCAGCCTAGGAACATCAGCACATTCTACAGGTCGCGGTGGCAAACATGGTCTTTCTAAAAAAATACAGAAGACACAGAGAAATAATAATGCAAGACAATTTATATTCCAGTGACATATGCTGTCTAAAACTGAAAAGAAAAAAAAAAAATCATCGAAACACAAATTAAATTACTTGAAGATGAAGAAATGTCTAAGATAAACAAAGCCTCTCTCCCCTTTCCCTCCTACATGGGGTTTCTCTCTCTTCATTTGAACCAAATTAAAGCCATTTTCTAGCTCATACCAAGGAGTTACAGATACAGTTTAGCATCAAGAACAGGGAAAATTTCCTAGGCAGAGAAATAGAAGAGACATTATCTTGCTTTGGGATACTGAAAGTGAGTTTTTAGAATGTTAGCTACTAATTTTTTCCACCATTAATAAGGTGGTACCAATGTCCTGACGGACAATGGATTACTCTATGAAGCCCTCCTGAGTCAGAGCTGTCCCAATGCTTTCCTCTCCTATGCTACTGAAGAGTGGGTGGACCTCAGTTATATTTTATATGCATTCTTAGTTGTTAATAAATTAGGTTTTATTAGTTGACACATCAAGTTGAAAGCATATGATTGCTCAAAATTCCACAATACAAAAGATCTAGTTACAGTCAAAGTTCCTGTTCTGTAACTGGGAGTTTTATTTCAGTAAAAGTTGTTTTATGAACAGCTCAAACATTTTTTTTCTGGTTATCCTTCTCTATGTCTGCCACATCACCAAAAATAGAAACTCACAGGCAATGCAGAAGAAAAGGAACCACATGGCACGAGAATTTTTCAGTTTAAGAACACACGTGGTTGGCATGTTGTGCACATCAGTCACCAGCTGGCACCTCATTTGCCCTGTGCTTGGCTATTTCCTATTCATTTCTGAAAACACTTTATTTGAGCATTTAATGAACTTCTGCTTACAAGATATGAGCTGCAACATTAATATTAATGCAGAAAGATGCTGGGGACATCAGCCCATCTGAGGTGCATGTGTTCCAATGCACACAGCATGGGTAACAAACAGGAGGAGCTTGAAGCCATGATGCAACAGGAAAATGACACAGTGGTTATCACAGAGACATGGTGGGATGTCTCCCATGACTGCAGTGTGCCAATCGATGGCTACAAGCTCTTGAGGGGGGATAGAAAAGGAAGGAGAGGCGGTGGGGTGGTGCTGTATGTTAGGGACTGTTAAGATTGCTTTGAGCACAGGTGTAGTGAAGACAGAGTGGAGTGTCTTTGTGTTAGAATCCGGGGAAAGGCCAACAGGGCAGATGTTTTAGTAAAAGTCTGCTATAGGCCACCCAACCAGGACAGAGAGGTGGATTAAATATTCTACAGGCACTTAGCAGAAATATCACGATCGCTTGCCCTTCTTGTTGTGGGAGACTTTAACTTCCCAGACATTGCTGGAAATACAACACTTCAGAGTGGGACCAGTCCCGGAGATTCCTGGAATGTGAGGAAAATAGCTTCCTGACACAGCTGGTGAGTGAACTCACAAGAGAAGGTGCCATGCTGATTCTGCTCTCTGTGAACACAGAAGGACTGGTGGATGATGTGGTGGTTGGAGGCCAACTAGGGCACAGCGATCATGAAAATATGAGTTCTCTATTCTCAGAGAGGCCAGGAGGGGGAGGCTGAACTGCCACCCTGGACTTATAAAGGGCTGGCTTTGACTTGTTTAGACACCTGCTTGACGGGATTCCTTGGGAGATGGTCCTGACGAGTACAGGGGTCCAGCAAGGCTGGGGACTCTTTAAGAAGAAAGTCTTAATGGCAGAGGAGCAGGCAGTCCCCAGGTGCTGCAAGAGGAGCCAGCAGCAGAGAAGACCACCCTGGCTAAACAGGGAGCTTTGGCTGCAACTCAGGGAGGAAAGGAGAGTATATGGCCTTTGGAAGAAGGGGCTAGCCATGATTACAAAGAGGCTGTGAGGCTATGCAGGGTGGAAATCAGGAGGTCTACATCCCAGCTAGAAATTAGTCTGGCTTCAAAGGTCAAAGATAAAATAAATGTTTCTATAAGTAATTCAACAGCAAAAGACAGACCAGGGAGAGCCTCCATCCCCTGTTAGATGCAGGAGGAAACATGACAAATAGTGATGAGGAAAAGGCTGAGGTACTTAATGCCTTCTTTCCTCTTTAACAACAAGACTAGTTGTTCTGAGGGAATCCAGCCTTCTCAGCCAGAAGACAGAGACTGGGAGAACAACTCCCCTACAATCCAGGAGGAGACAGTCAGTGACCTACTGCATCACATAGACACACACAAGTGTATGGAAATGGATGGGATACACCCGAGGGTGCTGAAGGAGATGGCTGGGGTGCTCACCAAGCTGTTTTCCAGCACATGCTTCGCTGGGTAAAAACCAGGTTGGATGGCTGGGCCCAAAGAGTTTTGGTGAGTGGAGTTAAACCTCATTGATGGCCGGTCACATGTAGTGTTCCCCAGGGCTCGGTGTTGGGGCCACTCCTGTTTAACATCTTTACTGATGATCTAGACGAGGGGATGGAGTGCACCCTCAGTCAGTTTGCAGATGACACCCAGTTGGGTGGGAGTGTTGATCTGCTCGAGGGTAGGGAGGCTCTGCAGAGAGACCTGGACAGGCTGGAGCCATGGGCTGAGGCCAACTGGAGGAGTTTCCATAAGGCCAAATGCCGGGGGCTGCCCTTGGGCCACAACAACCCCCAGCAGCGCTACAGGCTTGGGGAGGAGTGGCTGGAGAGCTGCCAGTCAGAGAGGGACCTGGGGGTGTTGATTGACAGCCAGCTGAACAGGAGCCAGCAGTGTGCCCAGGGGGCCAAGAAGGCCAAGGGCATCCTGGCTTTTGTCAGCAATAGCGTGGCCAGCAGGGACAGGGAAGGGATCTTACCCCTGTACTCGGCACTGGTGAGGCCGCACCTCGATTCCTGGGTTCAGTTTTGGGCCCCTCACTACAAAAGGGACATTGAGTTACTCGAGCGTGTCCAGAAAGGGGCAACGAAGCTGGTGCAGGGTCTGGAGCACAGGTCGTATGAGGAGTGGCTGAGGGAACTGGGAGTGTTTAGTCTGGAGAAGAGGAGGCTGAGGGGAGACCTCATCGCCCTCTACAGCCACCTGAAAGGAGGTTGCGGAGAGCTGGAGATGAGTCTCTTTAACCAAGTAGTAAGTGACAGGAGAAGAGGTAATGGCCGCAAGTTGTATCAGGGAAGGTTTAGACTGGATATTAGGAAGCATTTATTTCCAGAAGGGGTTGTTAGGTGTTGGAATGGGCTGCCCAGGGAGGTGGTGGAGTCCTCATCCCTGGATGTGGTTTAAGAGCTGGGTTGACATAGCGCTGAGGGATATGGTGTAGTTGAGAACAGTTAGTGTAGGTCAGTGGTTGGACTGGATGATCTTCAAGGTCTTTTCCAACCTAGATGATTCTGTGATTCTATTTTAGTAATTGGATGACAGATTCCTCAGCACTTAGAGTAGATGGTCTGAGCTATGCCATATCATTTATACCTCTATTACAGGAAGAAGCCACAAAAAGAGAAGGGGAAAAATCAAGAAAGAATAAAAATTAAAAAACCCAAAGATTGCTACTACTACAACTAAATGTGTTGGGTGGTTGATTTTTTTGTTTGTTTGTTTTTGTTTTTGTTTTTGTTTTAGAATACTATTAAAGGCCCCCAGTCAAATCTGAGATTCTCTTCTGCAACATACTAACCAAACACAGAGATCTTGAGGGACTACCTGAAAGTTTTATATGCCATCTTAGATAAGTCTGTGTAAATAAAAGGATTTACTGTCCAGCAGCTAGTTAACTGCGTTTTCTTTAGTAACTTATATGCTATTGCTTTTATGCAGTTACCTATTCATGATAATCTTAACATAAATAATATCACCCCCCTGGTAATGATGACTGTAAATTCATAACACAGAAATTAATAATAAAATAAATTTAAAAAAATACACTACTGACCCACACAGTAAGGTGGTGATTGCCATTTCCCTTCTATACATGTTATTTCATTTACACCGATGAGCTGGAAACCGTTGAGACATGAAAAAGATATTTTACTCCCATTCTTGTAATTTCTTCCAACGCTTATCTGTCGAGCATCAGGAAGCTGAGGCGGAGGTGGGCATGCACTCTCTTCAGCTAAGAACATGTTATAATAGATCATAAGATAAAGTGTAACAGTTCACCACCCATTACAACATGAACAACCAACAAAACTCTGGCATTAGATAATTCTTCAGTAGTCATCTCAAACTTGAATTAATATCATAATCATTATGTTCCGCTTCAGAAACACCAGACCTGCCTTCAGATGCTCATACACTTTCAAACTCATAGAAAAGACAGTCACAATTGCCTACACCAATCTAAGATGGAGCTTCTTGCAGTCCCTCCTTTCCCTTACACACAGCTGCTCACGCTTGTGTGCTTTCCCTGTTCCCCTCTGTATGGTGAACTACTTTAGGAAAACTGGACCAACTTCTGGGGTTCTTGTTTTGTTGTTTTTTCTTCAGATGTAACTGGTAACAGAGCTAAATGAGGATGACAAAAGGAAACAAAGAAATAAACTTCAGTTTTGTCACTCAAGGAACAAAGGGCTGCTCCTGTCAAAGGAAAGAAAAACAGAAGGAAAGAGGTAGATCTAGGAAGGAGGAGACCTCCAGAGCTTGATTTATTGGTTCTAGTGGTTCCAGAAAACTGAGAAGATAGAGACACTTGATTTTGAGAAGGAATGTTCCCTCGAGTGATTGCCACTATGTGTACTTCTCCCACTTCCACACATCATTGCCCATGAATCTGACATAATCTAAGCAGGCATTGAGATAATGATTGTTTTACAATCATGCCTTCTACAGGTAATACCCTGCTCTGCTATACATAAAGGCAGTCCTGCAGGCATCCGACCTTTGGTGTGTATTATATAAGGGCAGTCTCCTCTAGGTCTGTGCTTTTGAATTGGCCAACCCAGCTTTTTTTCTTCTTGTTTCACTAGGAAGCAATTGGAAAAAATGGAAGGTAAAAAAAGAAAAGTCAGGAATAGAGAAACTTTGAATGTTTACAGGAAATAAAGGAACTCAGATGAGCTTGAGCTATGTCTACTCTCATTTGCACCAGGGTAAAGCCGTTTTGATGAACCAAGCTTAAATTTTTCATTGCATCTTTTCTCACATCAGAAATGACAGTGAAAACTGTTCCATTTGTCAGAGTAGAGATCATTAAGTCTGCCTCACTAAAATAGTGTGTTTCCAAACCTAGTTAACTGTTCAAATGATTCCCACAATTATTCATGACTATCCTTTAGCAGATAATTGAGTAAGCACATATATAAGCATGTAAACTTTCTATTTCAGAATAGTGACAATGCTAAGAAGCTTTAATAATGAGCATTTATCACTCCTATGTTTAAAAAAAAAAAAAAAAAAAAGAAATTGTATGCAAATCTGAAAACATACCTGAACATTCAATCTCTGGTGACCATTTTCCAGACACACAAGTTGCCTGTTTAACAGTTCTGTCACCTGATGTACACATAAAACGTATAACTTTATTGAACCCAGTCTTCTCTTTTGGCTTGGGAAGTTGACCATTCTGCACAAGCTCAACATCCATTGGAAGCACACACTGAGGAGATGGATCTGAAAAAAAACAACAAAAAGAGCTAAAAAATAGATTTAATTCAGATGATATGTACATATGCATCCACTGACGAAGAGGTCATCAGTTTCCTAATGCATGTCCATGTTAAAGTGGTTTTTGATTTACTGTAGTTTGAAGTAACTTGATAGATTCCTAGATTACAGAAACAGGATGATTTTTTGTTCCAGCTATCTAAAGCAGGGACTGTTTTCACTCACAAAGCAATTATTTTTTTTGTTGACAGGATCCCTTTTGTTGAGTGTAGGAAATAATATAAAAACTAAGCATTCTTTTCTTCCCTAAAACTATCAAAAAGGTAGCAAGATGAGAAACCTTCTTTTGCTTGTAGAAACAGGAGCATAAAGGAAGTACTACTACACGCTGAGTATATATCAGGTATCAATCTCCCGTGGAAGGATCTTGTGGCCCTGACTGGTGATTTGCTGAGCCAGAACAGAAGCTACTTGTGAAAGCTCAGCAGTCTGTGGTTTGTGCCAGATTAAATCCTCAACATAACTGTAAATAAAGGTACAGTGTACGGAAATCACTGATGAATATAGAATCACTTCTGAAGAAAGGGGGGACCAAGAATTGGCTATAATATAAACTGTACTCTGTTAAAGGTAAGTGAAGTGCTGGAGAAATTTATCCCAAACTAGACTCCTTGTTCAGTATTGCTTTTTTCTTAAATTACTGACTCAAATGCAATTTTTTCTTTCTCTTAGGAAAGGGCTTTGATTGATATCTTTTAAAAAGACATCACTTTTGTTCAATGTATGCACCACAGAACTAAATAGGAAGATGAGAAAACTAATGATCAGAAATGAAAAGGGCTAATCCACATACAAATGGTGAGGATGAGATAAACCTAGTGCGTTGTGGCTATTAATACTATTTTTAATTCCCAGTAGATTTTTAAAAAGCAAAGTAGCATACAGAGACATAAACAAAGGATAAGAATAGGAGCATATCTTCCCTTCTGCATGAGTTTGTTCATTCTACTGGATGAAGCTGAGGAATTTCACAGGGAAAACCCTTCACTGAGTTTCTTTTGCTTGGGTCCAGCTCTGTGTCATCTCCCAAATATTTGTTTTTCCTTCAACATCATGTGATCAGAAAAAGGTACATAGGGTACACTATCAGATGGGTATCAACATTAGGCAGTGGCAAAACTTAGGACATTTAGGATACAGTAAGAGAGGACATTACTCAAATTATTCACTCCTAGCTGCCATATTGCACATTATTTATGTCTTTTTGAATAAGAAATAATTTTTCATACATTACAGTCAATAACCTGAATGAAATTTTGCACAAGCTATTTACCAGCTCACTTTCAGTTATTGCAGAACTCCATCTAGCACAACTAAAGCTAACAAAGTTCAGCACTGAAAGTTCAACCATTCAGAATCTTTCACATGAAACAGCAAAACACTCTGAAATGATTCAAAGAGGATCAGTTCCTGCCCTTTTAGAAACAAAGATGGGATAGTTGTTCTTGGGAGCAAGACTAGCTTATAGAAGGTGTCCACAGAAGTTTCCAGGACCCAGACATTTTCATCTATTTCCTGCTACAGTAAAGTTAACAGAAGAATTACCTTTACACACTGGTGGTGATGGAAACCATCCAAAATAATAGCACTGAGTAGAGGCAGGTCCCACTCTTACGTAATTGTTTGCACAGGTAAATTTCACAACATCTCCACTGCGGTATTTACCTTCCTTAGGAGAAAAATCTCCATTGGGCAATTCCAGCATTTCACATTCTATTGCTACAAAGACAAAATATTTTAAGATATAGTGTATGTCCTACATACACAAAATACATGAAATGCTACTGATTAGAACAAAACCAAAGAAAGTCTTAAAGAAAAAAGCTTCATACAGTGTATACAGAGTTACACTGATTGGCAAGCGCAAACATAACAATATTCACCAAGACACTGGGGCGTTGGACTCCATTCACCGTTTATGCCACACCTCGTGGTACCAGTTGGCATCTTATCTGCAGTTTGATATCCCTCCAAACATGCATACTCAATTGTATCTTCAGGCATGAACATAGTTTTATTTGTGTGGTAAATCAAAATGTCCAAATGAGATGTTTTACATGATTCTGTAGAATAAAGCAAAGTTAGTGCATTTTGTGATCCAGAAACACTGCCCTTTGGAATCATAATTTCTGTAGATGCTTTAGTGGGTGCCAGTCTACTGAGTATATTTGAAACTAGAAGTTCTGCATTGCCAGAATATGAACATAGAATATCCTCTGTAGCATATACACCTAATATCCATTGTGTTAATCTTCAGCAATATGCATCTAGAAGTAATATCTAGCATAAGTATTTCTCCCTTAGATTCACTTCCTTTCCTTCTGCTACACATTATTATTATCAGTGTCATAACAAACAGTTTGTACTCCTGTTTCCCATTGTCATCTGTGAGTGCATCAGAAAAGTGCTGCAAAATACGAGGTAAAAGCAGACTGAAATAAAAGGACAAGATAAAATATCAGTAAAGTGGTCAATATTACGAGCCTCAGCATCATAACACTGGAAGATTAAGGCTCCTCTTTTACTGTCTGACACTATCTGACTATCTGTTCAGGAGAAGAAGGAACTTTTAAGATGAGAAAGACAACAGCAGTATGGAGGTATTTTCAGGAAAAAGTACGTTCAGGAAAAAGCACATTTGTTTTTCACAAATGTACTTTTAAACATCAGAGCAGACATACGCATCGTGCTTTTTATGCATAGTGATAATATTATGAATCCCATTTTTCTCTATTTTGGGCACTTTTAAAGTTCTTGGCAAAATCCCTTGGTTCACAAGCATTTCTTAAAAAATCTTCCCTCACATGTGTGAAAGGCGGGAGAACTGGGAGTGACTTTGGGCATAGGCACCTTGTATCAGGTAAGAATCACTGGGGAGGTCAGTGATTACCATCTCCTTCTTGCTATGGAGGTCCAAAAAGATAGCTCACCTAGAAGAAAGTAGATATTTTCCCACCTTACTCACTTCCTTTATGTTTTCTCTATTTCTTGGAGCCCCAGAAAGGTTAATCTCTGGAGGATCAGTTCTCTGTTTGAATCTCCCTCTGCCCAGTAAGAAAACTCTACCAATCTAGATGTCAAAAATCTGAGAACATAGGACAACATGTCTGCTCCAGTGACAATGATAGAGAGCTCCGAAGCCTCAATGCTACTCACTGATGCACTTTGGAGGTGGAGTCCAGCCATTCTCTTGACACTGTATCACTCCTGTTTCTTGGCCTTCTGGAGTTACAAAGCCAGTAATACAATTATAGGTGACCTTCTCCTGTAAATTAAATGTTGTCTTTCTCAAGGTGAAATAACCATTTTCAAAATTGATATTCTGGCATTTTTCTGAAAGAGATAGACAGAATTTACTCCAAGTAAAACACTGCTAAACTACATGCTTATAATACACGGAAGAAGAAGGACAAATGAAGCAGCAGTGGGATTTAGGACATTTTTAGGAGCACATGAATTTCTGCTTCTGCATTGAATTTTCTTCCTGAGGGGACTACTGGAAAGTGAACAGTCAAAATTCACAGTTACCAACTTGTGCAGCACAAACAGGGATGGACAGGAGTTTGATTTGCAGCAGTCCTGCAAGTTTCCAGAACTGTATGTCCATATCTGGTCTTCACTAGAAATGAAATTCATGTTGGGCATGCACAGCACTATGCATGCATAAAGAGGACCTTCTGTCCGTATTGCATCACCATGGTGATCCAGAGATCACCATGGTGTGCAGGTACCACCTCAGTTCTACCAAAGAGAAATCATTCAGGGTGCACATACTGCAGGGCTAAAGCAAATTTGTAGCAAAGGACCCCTTCTTGCACACTAAAACACTAGTGCAGACAGACCCAATATTGCAACTGATTTCACATCACTTGGAATACATTGTTTAAGACAGTCTAAATGGATGGAAATCAGTAGTCTTGGTTGGATGTTATGGTCTTCCATTCTGAAAGAAAACTTCCATTGTATACTAAATTCTTTACTAAGAGATCACTCTGTGAAGGAGTTTCTTCATTTTAAGAAATTAACACTACAACAAAGAGCAATATTTGCACATTAGAGAGTCAAATAAATAAAGATATGGAAAAAAAAGAATTTGAGGATGCATTTGAATGTTGGGAGCAGAGTTAATGATACTTCAGTGCAACAGCTTCAGAAGTTTAAATTTCACATCCTTTTTTTTGGTGTTTATACCAGTGATAACCATAATTGCCCAATACTAGGCAACATAAAATTTTATTTTGCTTGCTTATTGCTATATCAAAATCTCAGTGGGTGGTGGTCCAAAACATGCTATGGTTAATGTCTCCATCAGGGTGGTATTGTTAAAAAACATTTTTACAGTTCAAGAAAAGTTAGGTTAAATTATTTCTTTTGTCCATATGAAATCATTATCTGAAGTATTTAAAGTTCCTGTGAGACATTCTAGCAATTTCAGGCTTGGTGCAAGTCAGAACAAAAGCTAGAAATAGAGTTAGGAGAGGTAACCTTGCTATTCGTCCCCCCCTCCAGTATGATGCCAACTGAAAAGGAAGAAAGAGAAAAAAGGACCAGGTGGCATAGTGATAGGCTGAAAGGAGACAAATTACACATAGGCTGTGCAAGGGGAAGGATTACTATTTATTACATTACTGCACAGCTATAACACGATTTCACAACGGAAGACAAAGGGACCATGACTCCCATCCCAGAGCTTACATTCTAGGGGATCTGAATGAGCCACACGTGGACATTTGAACAGGGTTACATTCTGCATTTTGTATAGCAGCTGACCCCAGAGGCAGAGACATGAGAGCTGCGTGAGACAGTTCAGAGAATCACAGCATTGTGTTTCAGTTGTAGGGCACTTAGACTTAGATTTACTAAGCAGTGGTGACAGATTAATGTAGGCGATGTGATGATGGATTTACTGGTTTTAGTTAGAAACCTCAACAAAATGCAAGCACACTCACTTTTACGGATGCATCTTGGAGGAGGTGACCAGCCATTCTTTGTGCATGTGACTTCCCCACCTTCATGTTCAGTTAGATAGTCAGTGTCGCAGACATATTTAACTCTTTCACCTTCCTTGTAAGAATTCTTCCAGCTGTGTGAGAAGTAACCATTCTCCAGCTGCCTGGTATGACATATTTCTAAAGAAAGAAGATAAGTACATTTAACCACAGTAATTTGTACAGCTACAACTGAGATAAACCGTTAAGAAAACAGTTACTAAAAGATGGGCCTCCAAGGACCTTTCTGTAGATTTCTATCCCCAAAAGACATTCATGTTCAAACCTGAATGAAAGCATGTTTTGTTTCACTGCCCTAAGATTAACAAATCACATGAACAAGAGCACAAGTCACTACATAAAGTGCTAAGAAGTGGTCTACTAAACAATATTGCTTACCTAGTCTCCATAAGCAAGACTGGCTAACTTCAGTGTGTCTAGCGTCGTGTACACCAGCTCTGCTTTGGACTGCTACATCTCTAAAATGTTGGCTCTACAACATCCTGCACCCCAAGAGCCCAGACACATGGAATACAGCTGTACCGAGGGCAACAGGGAAGGATCAACCTTCTGTAATCCACTTCCAAGCCCTACCAGTAGGTAGGAACTTTACTGTGACTGAAGATGTGTGTTAGGAGAGAAAGCCTCAGCTCACTGCCTCATATCTATTTTAAATTTATTTTAAATCTAAGTCAGTGTATCTGGATCTTTTTTGATGCTATGCTCACTTTCAGCTTATTGCAAGAGAGTGCCACCTTCTCAGCTCCAAATGTTATCCAAAGGGATCAGGCAATGGATCTCAGAAAGGAACCTCTAGAACAGGTGCCCAAGCCACAGAAGGAAGAATACATTTACATGGAGTAGAAACCCTCTGTTTGTATGTGCAGATTAAAGTAGATGATGCATGCATGTGACCTAGAAGCTGGAGAAACATTTCCTATGTATTTCTTAATCTCATTAACAGTTTCATGAATAAAGAATCTCCAAAATCCAAATGCATTGTTTCAGCCTTACTCATTTCAGAGCGTCACTTTCCAGCTGACAGGTTTGCAGATAGGATGATGGTCTGGGTGCAGTTCCAGGGGTCAACTAAATAAATTGTTCTTTGCTCCGTCTTGTGCTCCATCAGCACAATTTCTGTTGCACAGACCTTTGATAATTATAACAGAATTGAGCACATAGTGGAAATATACTTACTGAGACATTTTGGTTCTGGAGACCAGCCCCTTCCAGAACAGGCTATTCGAACCCAGTAGTGTCCACTTGGGGTTGAATAACCATTAGCGCAGTGGTAATCAGCATGCTGCCCAACCCTCATTGGAAAGTAATAGTTTTTGTGGTACTCCAGTGAATCACTTAACTTGCCATTTTCTATAGCTGGGTAGTCACATGGTTTCTCTTGAAACAGAATTTAACAGCAACAATATCAACACCTGCATGACAAAAAAAACTCAGGACACAATTAATTCAGATTCAGCTTCATCTGAGTGTTTTCTGAACCTGACAGAATCAGGACACCTTGGCAGATCCTAAGGAGTGCAGGAACAACTGCACTCTGCTTCTGGTGTCTCTGTCAGTGCTTACACCTATGTTGCTTCCCTCCAATTTTATTGCAACTAACAACAATCCAGTCAATATTCTCACTGTCCAAAGGCTGATTCATGAGACCAAAATGTTTATTCTAAGGTGAGATGACACTGCCTTTGTAGAGTGTCACAACTAAATCTAACATACTGACCATGACGGGAGCCCAGACAGCTACCTTAGATAAATACACTGAACTGTGAACTCTTAAAACTGAGATGACTCTGTCACATCTTTAATTTGTAACTTTTGGGATACTGCACCAAGGGCTCTTTCTAGCTCATTTGTATTTTAAAACTGTACTGTATTTCTTTTGTTCTCTCAGTTCCTCAAAAGAACTGACCCTTTCCAGGGACAAGTACAGGGATAGAAGGAGGAGATTCCCAGAAGCGTTCATTCAAGTTTACCCAGGGTGTCAGTCATGGCAAGCAGGTTCCTCTCACATTGCTCTGACCCATAGCCTACATACTGGAGCAGGGGAGATCACCCCCTGGACAGACCATTCAGTAACGACTGCAGCGATCTCAGAATGATACCCGAATTTTAGAACCCACTGGGCAAAATTATCTTTGTAGTTATGGGAAGTTTAAGCCAAGAAAGAACTCGTCAACAAACAAGAATACCTTGTTTGGTTGACAGGTTATAATAGGTAGAATAAAACTGTGATTGTTCATAATATACCAACACATAACTGCAAGTAAAAAATCTAAAGCTGTGATAACTATGATGAAAGATACCTTCTAATCATTCCCTATGGTTTGGATACTTTAACACTATGTCCTCTTGACTGCCATGCTGCTCCTCAGGTGCACCACAAACCTTCCTGACAGGGAGCTGACTGTAGCACACTCTAATACGTACTTTCACAAATACAATAATAGATAATACCTGTGTTCATAAACATAATTTAAATGTATATTATATCATTGTTCTTTTAGCTGATTTTTCCAAACTATCAAATTAAGCTTTACATCACCAAGAAAGACAATGAATAAGCATCTCTCATTTCTCATTCTTTGTAAGTTTTTCTCATTACCTTTTTTTCACTGAGATATTTCAACAACTCTACATGTTGCGTCTTCATTCATGAGAGCTACTTACGTACACAACCTGGATCAGGCACCCAGCCATCCCTGGTACACTCAGCTGTGCTTTTGCCAGTCAATGTTTTAAAATGATATCCAGTATTACACTGTACTGTGATTATATCACCTACTACGTAGTTGTCTTCTCGAGGTCTAAAGTTTCCGTTGCGAATTATTGGAGGAGAGCATACAATTTCTAAATAAAAAGAGAAAAAAATGGATGCTAATTTGAAGAATACATTTATATTTATTACATAAATTCTTATTTTCATAGTATATTGATAATACCTGCATAAAATTATTAAAGATGTTTCTTAGGGCAAATAAAAGGTTACATTTCTCTCCCACTCTTAGAAATGTGCAGTTCTGCAAGAGGAGAGTGACAGCTGTTACTGAGGTCATGCTAATTAGAAGATTAAAAGCTAATTGCAATGAAAATGGTTGGAACAATAACTTGGTTAAACTGAATTTGACTAATCTCTTCCAGTAGGTCATTCCACAGCTGGAGCTCAGAATGACCTATACTGGGCTCACTCACAGCTCTCCTGGGCTGGTTTATGGACACTGTCCCAAAGGAAGGCACATTCATCAGCAGGTCCTAAATGGAGAAATAACTACACTTGACTAAGAACTGATCATTCAAAGGCTGTGTGATTAAGGTTAGGGTCTTGCACTGGCACTGGAAGTATTTCAACACTAAGAAGGGACAAGAATGCTATTCTAAAAAGCTCACGATGCCTTTATGCTCAGAAAAGCCTGGCAAACATATTATTCGTAAACCAGAGCCTGTCTTCTGGGTGTTTTGTATTCTATTTCCAGTTCAGAAAATCCTACCAACACACTCAGGGATGGGAGGGGATGACTAAAGGTTGATCCTGCTGTGCAGTAAGGGTGGGCGAATCAGCTGTATGCATGTACTGCTGAATCATGTAGGTTCAGTGATAAGTCAAGTAGGATCCAGAATCACTTTTTGGGGTATCTGAATATGCCCCAAGTATCAGAGCCCAATATCAGTGTCTGGAAGAATATTTTATTTGGTACGTCTCAAAAGCAGTATGTTGCTAAAGTGTAGGCAATGCATATTAATTAGTATCATTACTAATACTGAAGCAGAAAGGTCAAGAATTGAGAGGGCACTAAAGACTGACTACTCTTTAATTCTAAAGGAGCCTTTCTGGAATTAGTCCCAGTAAGGTGGGTGGTACATAACATCCTATAATGTTGCCCTGTTGCCAACAATTTTTCCCAGTTTCAAGTTTTTGGCAAATTCTTGAAAACAATTCAAGGCACTAATGATTTCCCCCAAGTTTACATCAAACTATTTCAACTGGGACATAACATGCATATTTATGTTTGTGGGATTTAGAGATTTTAAATAAAGTCTTTAAATGCTATAGTTGTATTAAACTAAAGCAAAAATCCACAATCCAGAGGGCTGGAACTAGCCTCAGAAATTATGGATTTGTCAACTTAACTGCTCAGAAAGCATTTGGGAGTTAGAAAGCAACAGGGAGTTTCTGCATGGTAAATATATTAATTGTAGAGATTCTCAGACAATTTCTGATAGGAAGTTTGGACACCATGGATAATGTGGTTGTGCAATTACAGCCCTGATGACATTAAACGAATTGCTGTCTTCATCCCAGACTAAGGGTCATGGACAGTGGCAGGATGCATGCATACCATGTTACTTTGGTGTCTGTTTAAACACCACTTCATGTACATGGTTCTTGGGGTTAGTGAACTTAAAATCTGTTGTACACAATTCTTGACATAATGACTGTGTAGAAATCACTATTATTTACAGCTTTATATATAATCACACACTACAATTCCATTGTAATTTTCAATTGGCCACTTATGGCCATCAATGGACTACTTATTCTCCTGAAATTGGACTACTTCACATTTGCTCAAACTCCTTTGGAAATGGCCATGTCAACTTCAGACTGTTCTTCCTACAACATTATTTTTCTATTTCAGAAGAACTCTTGAAAGGCAGTTTACAAACTTAGAGCAGGATTTTAATTTGAAAGATACTTTTGTAATTCAAGTCATTTTTGAAAGATTGCACAGTAAACTATATCTGACTGAAGTTCCATCAGTGAAATAGGGATAATTTTTTAACTGTTCCTCTTTGGTTGGAACTGGTTGATCAGAACTAGTGGTCTGGAAATTTAAAGAATGGATATAATCACTAGCAACCAAGTGCTTAGTCTGCTCAAATTACAGTAAGACTCATCAGGAGAAAATGCAGAGGTCAGTACAGTAGTTCAAATGTCTCAAATGTTCATATAGGGTGAGATGTTTAGTAATATTTTACTGAGTGGTTAGTTCTATGATTATAAATAGCAGAGTCTTGGCTACAATGACACACCATCACAGCTACTGAATTCAGAAGACCTGAAGATGGATTAACTTGTATTTCCCCCTCAAAGAACTGCTTGTGATTCCTAAGTACGTCATCAAGCTAATATTATTAGCTTTCCCTAATTTTCTTCATACTGCTGCAATTCATATGGTATCAGATACTTCTTTAGGCAGTCTTCCAACATACAGCACAGTCACTGACTTTTATGTTCATGTTAAACACACTTAAAGAGGTGTCAGGACTTGATGTGAAGAAAATAGGACTTCAAAAACTATACCACTTCTCTAAGAAGCTGGTTTCAAATGTTAATTTTCCCATGTCATTAAAAATATCAGATTCCTTTTGTAGTTTGATTTTCGTTGATAATAATACTTTTTTTCCTGCTTTCTGATTTTTCCACTCCTTAGATAAAACATTTTCACCACATTTTGTAGAAGGTAAAGAGATTCAGCTTTATACTTCCTATTTGTCCCAATTAGGATTTTTTTTTCTAACCAAAGAAATCTGTTTCCTATGTTCTCCCACTAATTAAGAATAATATAAAAAAAGAATAAAATAACATCACTTACTAATGGTGCATTAAGTATTTTATTATCAATCTCATTTATGCAGTGTACCGGAACAACAGTTGCTTCATGGACCTATTTACCTACACTTAAGTAACAAAACACTGAATTAACTGGTTTTGCTACTGCTCTCCACGAAAAACTTTTATCCAGTTGTTTGGTCTCTTTAACACTTAATCCTACCATATCTTCATGGGATATTGGTCAGATGTGGATGGATTTCTTCTGCTATGAATAAACCAACTTTTTTCTCTGAAATTACTTAAAAATACAACAAGTGAAGAAAATAACTTTAGGCAAGGCTTACCAGTGCAATAGGGGATTGGATTCCATCCTGATTCAGTACATTGTGCATCTGCTCTTTCACCATGTCTGTATCCTTCATCACAGGCATAATGTAGTAGTTCAGATTCCTTGTACGACCCCTTTGGAGAACGTATAAATCCATGTGGAATTTTTGGCACATTACAGATAATCTCTGAAATTAAGAAAGACAAAAATCCATATATTTTTGTTTATTTTTATTTGCTAAGAGTAAGTGCCAATTTGAATAAAATTTAGGGTGTGTGGTTTTTTTTTTTTTTTAATTTGACTTCACAAAAAATTTGCATTTGGAAACTGTCTGAAATTCATTTGAGAACTCTTCAGTGACCTGGTTGTGGGTGCCAGGTAGAAAGTACAGTGCAGCATGACATCAATAGCAAACTGGTCCATGAGATAGATTTCAGGGCTTTTCTTTAGATTTTATTGGATCTCAGAATCAGTATATGAGGTAGGGGACATACTGTAATAAGAAAATAGGCTATCTGAAATTTAGGATTTTCATTTTTCAGAAAATATATGTCATTGTAATTTCCAGAAATCTAAAGCTCGCTCATAGCCAGCAGACGATTAGTTAAATCATGGCATCAACAGGAAAAAAGAATTAAATTGCCTGGAAAACTGACACTGGAACGCTTAACTATCTATACAATAACTTCAGCATCCCCAGCTCCTTGACAAACCCAATAAAACCACTGTGATCTTGTAGTTTCCAAAAACTGCATTCATAAAGCCAGAAAATAGTCAAGGCTTTGCTGCCTAGGCCACAGAGCCAGCCACCAAAGAGTTCTCTAGGATTCCTTCGCTGGATTTACTTTGCATTTAGGATGAAATATAGCTCAGAGAAATTATTGTTTAATAAAATTCATTGTATTCTGCAAATGTTACAAGCGCATGTGTTTAATCCCACATTATGCTGTTCAAACTATAATAAATGGGGGTTTCAAAGCAGCAAAATGCAGCCCTGACATTGTGAACAAACCATACATGTATCTGACATCCTGACACATGTACTCTGCTCTTCTAAATACATACTTCCCAATTGGATCACATATAAATAATCTAAGAAACTTGATGGACGGAATATTTAACAGTGACTGTTACCATAAGATTCCTGGGATTCATTCTTACATACTAACAATCCAATCCCATACAATCTCTATTTGTAAAATGGAAAAATAATCCCATCCACCAGTATAAACTGGGGGTGAGGCAAGGTGGGGTCAACTATCTGAAAAGTAGTTTTGCAAAAATACTGGGCAGTCCTGATGGACAAGTTGAACAGCAGCCAGCAATGTGCACTTGCAGCAAACAAAACAGCATCCTGGGCTCCACTGGGAAGAGTGCTGCCAGCAGGTCAAAAGAGGTTATCTTTCCCCTCTGCTCAGCACTGGTGAGACCACATCTGGAATGCTGTGTCCAGGTCTGAGCTCCCCAGTACAGGGAAGACATGGACAAACTGGAGCAGGTTCAGTAAAGATAATTAAGGAACTGAAGAAGCTGACAGATAAAAAGAGGCTTAAGAGAGTCTAGAGAAAAGAACCTTGGTGGGGAGGGAGGATCTTATTTGTATGTATAAATTCCTGACTGTGATGTCACTGGCACCCAGTGACAAGATGAGAAGCAATGGGCACAAATTGAAGTACAGGAAATGCCACTTAAACATAAGAAAAAACATTTTTACTTAAGAATGGTCAAACACTGGAATGGGTTAGAGAGGCTGTGGAGTCTCCATCCTTGGAGATGTTCAAAAGACAGCTTGACATGGTCTTGAGCAACTTGACCTAGCTGACTACTTTGAGGTCCCTTCCAACCTCACCTATTCTGTGATGCTGTGGTTCTGTAAAAACTAAACATGAATTAACCTTCCAAGTTGTCAGAACACATTAGTCTGAAGAAAGAAAAATCCATCATGATTTCTTATATTTTATATACCCTAAGAATACGAGTGTATTAAAATCATACTTTTTTTTTCAAACTTGGTTCACGTAGATTCAAAATTGTTTGCAATTACTGTGATTAAATCAACACTGAAGTGATCGAATCTTAGGTAGACATACCAAAGCTAGTTTCAAAGAAATTGACTGCAGACTGGCAAAACATACAGCTTGTAGTGAAAATGTGGGACAAACAGATGGTTCATTATGACTATATTAGCATCCAATATTCTCTGATTTCTCTTTCTTACCTTACTTCTTTTGCATATATGCAATGGAGATTGTTTACAGACAAACTCTGCTTAATTGCTGTGGAATAAAGTAAAAGCTTTGTAGTTTACCATATGGTAACCAGTCTTTAGAAGTCTGTGAGAATAAAGCTTCTTAATTACAGATAATAAATACTGTTCTTTTTACCTTGGCACTGAGGTACATCACTACTCCATTTTCCATTAGAAGAGCACATTATTTCTTTAGATCCAACAAGCCTGTGTTTTGCATTACATTCAAAATTTACAACCTGGCCAAAGGAATATTCTCGGCCTAGCTCAAATGCACCAGTTATAATTATTCTTCCATTTTCTGGTGCTTGTATAGGTAAACACTTTGCCACTGGAAAACAAAACAAAACAAAAGGAGTGAAAAAAAGCAGCCATTCTGAAGTCTACTCTGTAAAATAAAGTGACAAACAAAAATGCAAAAATACAAAAAACTCACTGTAATTTCCTTATACATTTAAAAAAATATACACTTTCGTTATGTATTCAGATACCATTTGCAACAGATGATAAAATATGAAACCCTTAACAAAAAGACAGGCTGACATAGGAGGAAGCTTGTAGACTGGCTCTCATCATCCTCTTCTCTGCCCTTGAAGGCTAAAGACCCACTGAACTAGATGATCTCCTGCAGTCTCACACAATACAAATTAGCCTATGATCCTCTGAATTCTGTGGATGGTTAGATGAGCCTTGACTGACATATAGGGCCATTAAGCTTTGGCAAAATATAGGTTAATTTACTTCAGAGCTATGGCAAACTGAATTTGCTATAGACAAATATCTAGAAAAGTGCTGTTTTATAGACTGACTACAACAGTTCAGTTGCTATCTGAAAATCCTAGTTAAGGATATCAGAACAATTATATTACTAAACAAACACAATGTCAGCCATGAATTTAGACCTCTTGTATCTCCTAACTTTGTAACTGCAGAAAAAAGGAGAATTAATGTATGTCATCAGACATTTCTTATTAAGGGGGAAATGACTATCAAAGCTCATTCTTAAAATGTTCACATAGATATCACTGGGCATGTGCGAAGGTGACTGCTGCTTTGCTCCAACTTCTCTCTGACAATATTCTCTATGTTATAAGCCATCTGCCTTTGCTATGAGCTCACATTCTGTCTTCTAGGTTCCTCACAATGATGACATTATACACACACTTTTTGTCATAGGCAGTCATAATTCAGCCTAATGAAAACTCCTCAGTCATGAAGGAAAAATCTTATGAGGACTTTGAAATTGTAGTATCTTGGTGACACGTGGCACAAAAATGTTGGAAACCATTCCTCTATACTGTGCAGACAGAGACCTGTATGTCTAAAATTGAGGACACTTAAAATCCAGTAAATGAAATGTGAAATATCTGAGACCAAGAAAATGTCAAAATACAGACAACAAACTCCAGACAAGAGAAAGACATCTACTTTCATTTGTGATTCTTAGAGAACCTTTCCTGACATAAGATGTTTTACCTAAAGAGAAATTTCTCTACTGCACACATATGTTAAAATAGTTAAAATTTATATTTAGGAAGAAAGGAATCTTATTTTCACAATCATGCAGGTTTGAAACTGGTGAAAAGGGAATTTTTATCCGAGCCATCCAGTCTATTAAGTCTTGAGGTCTGAGTCTCTCTTGCTCTCATTCTTACTTACTGAAGTTCTTCCACAGTATGCTAACAGGGAGAAGAACTTGTAACAAAATCTCAATGGTTAGGATATTCACAAGGGTGGAGGAGGAAACTAGCTAAAAACACACATGCTTTCAACTTCAACATACATCCGAAATGCCTCATCCCAGGTGTCTTCTGTAACCGTGTTTTGCAGGCATCTACTCTATCGGGGCCTTAAGGTGACGTAGAGATTTAAGCCAGGCTGGGGGTGACAAGACTCTGTTTTGTGAACGTTTTTAACAAAAGCTTGAGTGCTTATTGGGTTAAAATGGTTGAGCAGTCATTGTAAGAGTTTCACTGCTTCATAACTTGAACTTTAACATATTTGAATAATAGTAGAGAGATCACAGACTATTTCTAGATAGTATCAAACAGATAAAAATATCACTTTGAGAAAGAATTAAATGTCAAACTCTATTTACCTTCACAGTGAGGGACGTCATTGCTCCATCCATCTGCCTGACACTCACGGTAATTTCTTTGGCTGAGCATCCAGTATCTTACCAAACAAAAAGTAAACAATGCTAAAATACAGTCTCCTTTTGTGACAGAAACAGCAGTGCTGCTGTTTTTGAAGCAAAGTAAGTAGGTTTCATATGTTCTAGCCCAGACTAACCAAAATGTGACAAAACTGAGTAGCTTTTGGCCTGTGTCTCCTCTATTTTGTTTATTTTAATTGCATATGGCAAAAAATAAATAAAAAAAAAATCAGAAAGTAGGATGTAATCAGTAAGATGGCTTCCTCATAACAGAAAGAGCAAGCTCATAACAAATAACTGAGGGATAATTTACACAGTCAGTAGCAAGCAGAGTAAAATTCCTGTTGCCTGTGCTCTGAAAGCCATGTGACGGCATCAAAAGAGGACATAATCCAAACCATATGTATCTCATGCTTTGATAAGCTAGTATTATCTTAGGTTTGAAGGCAAGATGGCCACAATGCCATGGCTTCTGCTTTGTCTGAAATGTAGTCAGAGGAGGTACAGCTAGTCTGAAAAACAATGAAGAACTGTCTGAATTTAAGGGATTAAGGAGAATATTGATTTTGAAATGCTTTTTGTGGAACTCAGACTAGATTCCAGCAATACAAAGACTGCAAAAGCATGGCCAAACCACTGTACCATGCTTATAGATGAATTGCAAGAGGAAAAAATCCACTCATAGGCATACTTAACTAAGTACATTGCTATATATTTGCCATGCTGCAGTTTTCATTGGAGATGAATAGAGGAGGAAGGGAGAAGAATTACTTCCAATTAGTTAGTGAAAACATGTTAGTTAGTATACCAGAAATGTCTTCCATTAAATATTTTTGCAATACATTTTACTTCATAATGCACAAAAATGATTTAAGCAGGACTGATGAGTTGTGGTTCTGAATGAGAATCTGTTGTACAGCCTAATGACTTCGCTAACATAACTGCATCATGACTGCCTACCGAGAGCACTGATTCCAGCATAAAAACTTGCATTTCCATATGAACTGGCTGGCTGGTAGAGTCATGAGGCAGCTTTACAGACAGATCACTATTTTTGTTTTCTACTTGGACAGCCATGATTTCAAGTTAGCTATAGATTTACAGATTTTAGACCCTTTGGATGACACCTTCACATTCATGAGTTCAGTTATTCCGGTAGCACCAGAGAAGAGAGTTATCTTTAGTACTACTGTAATTGCAAAAATGTAACAATAATCAAGCATTAAATATTAGTAAATTGCAGCTGCATTACAGACAACAAACCTAAACTGACACTTCTTTTAACGTTAACACCTTATGTTAACTCCTATGTATTGAATTAAATAAGTATTACCCATCATTACATCTGTATTCAACTCTGGCACCAAATACAAATTCAGTTCCACTGGTAAGTTCAAAGGAACCAAACTCAATATCTCCAGGATGTCCACAGGGCTTATCTGGTAAAAAAAAAAAAAAAAAAAAAAGAAAAAATTTACACCATACACAAGAATGTCAAAGTGTGAAAGACAGCACGTTTCTAGTAATCAATAGCGAGTATGGGCCTTTCAAAAACTCAAAAATACTCAGCTCAATTAATCCCCTCTTTTATTAATCACTGTCTTCAAGAAGAACATATTGGAGTAAGGATCTGCTGATTTTCTAAAAGAAATTAACTAATTAGCAGGTATTATTTCTTTAAAAATGCTGAGCATATTTTATGACAAATTTAATGGAAGAATGTAACTTCAGCTTTTCATATAATTTGTGACATAGTGTCCTGGTTTGAGTGAGTGGCAGGGGCTTTGGTAGCAGGGGAAGGGGCTACAGCAGTGGCCCCCATGACAAGTTTCTTGAAGCTGCCCAGCTCCAAGTCAGACCCACCTTTGCACCAAGGCCGGGCCAAGTAGCTGCACCTCTGCAATAACATATTTAAGGGGAACCTGGGAGGAGTTGTGGGGTTAACATCTGTGTGAACACGGCGGTCAGGGGAAGAACAGAGGAGAAGGGGGAGGTGTGCTGGAGCAGACACTCACCTGTATCCCGTGGTGGGACGGCAGGGCCACCCCCCACCACCCATGGGGGTCACCGGAGGAGCAGCTACCGACCTGTGGCCTACGGAGGGCCCACACCAGAACAGGTGACTGTGCCTGATGGAGGCCAGACCCCACGGGAGAAGCCCCCACTGTTGCAGTTCAGTGCTGGGAGGATTGCAACACGCGGGGGTGACCCACGCACCCAGCGTGAGGGAGTGACTCATGTCGGAGCTGGTTTGGGAGGACTGTCTCCTGTGAGGGGGGCACCGCACTGGGACAGGGGAGGAAATGCCAGAAGTGCCCCCGCCCAGGTGGAAGAAGCAGCAGGACTGACTGCACCCCCCCTTCCCTGTCCCCTGCGCTGCTGAGGGGAGGAGGGAGAGATATTGGGAGCAGAGCTGAGCCCAGAGAGAAGGGAGAGATGGGGAGAGGTGATTTCAGGATGTGATAATGCTTCTCCCAGTCCTACTCTGTCTGTTACATGTTGTTGTTAGTGTCTGTATTAAATTTATGTTCTTTTTTTTCTTCTCCTAACAAGTCTGGATTTTGCCCATGCCTTAATGGATAAGATCATCCCTCCCTGCTCTTATCTCAATTTCCTGGGCCTTTTGCTTCCCTCCTCAGCACCGGGGGGAAGGGGTGTGTGAGAGGCGCCTTTGCTTTATTTTTCCCTTCTCAGTGCTGGGGGG